AATAATGAACTAGGTTTCTAGATGTCATGTAGCAAAAATGACTGTATTATTGCTTTCATCCAAGGTGACTTTGAAAGGACAGGCAATACAAAAGAAGTTTTGGCATCTCATTTAAAAAAAGCTTTTTCATTTTCCTTGAATAAGCCTTGTGCGTTTCAATAAAGTAAAAATCTTTATGTTCTGGGAGGTGAACGTGTGGTTACACAAAAGATTTTTTTTAAGCATCTCACAGCAAAGGATTGATAATATATCTCATACTAGTAATTTCATCTTTGTATATCTTAGAATACAAGTATTAACAGTACTATAGTGAAGTTTTTGGTATGTCTCAAAGTGTCTAAACATGCACGTATTCCTCTCAAAGAGTCTAAACGTGTATGTATTCCTTTCTCTATCAATATGCATTAATTAGAGTTCAGACTAGCAAATTATAAAAGTGGTATTACTGACCCATACATTCTAACATAAAAAAATAATCCCTTGAAGGCTGTGTTTGTGAAATAAATTATAAAACATTTCATAGCATGGTATATATTACATTTCGCAGCATGGTATATATTACAGACCCTTACTCTAATTCAGCTGTATCTTATTCTGTGAGCAATACATAGAATATAATGAGGCTTAGTTATAAATTTATAGACCACCCTAAGAAGAGGTTGGTCTATAATATGAACATAAAATATTATTAAATAAGAGTCGGGCTATCAGACATCTAGCCTTACATTTTTCCATATCAGTAACACTACAGAGTATCAAAATATACTGATACTGTATAGCGCAAGATGGAACTAGATGGGTTTCTTTTCTTGTATAATACCGGTATATCCATGTTTAATCAATTGATCTATATTTTGCGTAAGATTTATAAAAGATGCATCTTTATATTTTTCATTCTGATGGTACTGCACCGTAATATGTCCTTTATAGTGGAAAATGTATGTCCTGTGAAGTGAGCAGAAGACCATTCCACATTTATTGTTCCTTATTTTTACTGCCTCACCAATCTGAAATCACTTTACTTTTCAAAATATTGCATTCTTGGTTTCATCCGTCAAAAGGGGCTAAATAAGTCGTGTTCCATTGGCAACACGTAGGGGGTGCACATGGGTACATGTGCACCCCCTGAGATTGGCAGTGTACCCCTGAGATTGGCCAATGCCAACGCTGCTGGCAGCACCTGTGGTCACCACTCGCCACCCCTCCCCACCCTGCCACCACCGCTGCCACCGCCACAGTGACCTGCGGAAGCGCCTTGCTCACCGCTGACATGGCCCCGCCGCCAACACCACCACCACCTGTAGGCACCACCACCACCTGTAGTTGCCGTGTCCCCCCAGCCTCGGGAGGCACGCGACGTTCACATTGTGCCCCATGGTATACTGTGGTCAGTGGACACTTGTTTACATTGTTCAGTTTGTGTTAGACCGTGACCTTAGCTCAGCTTTCAAGTTGACAAGTTAAAGAAAATAATAAACAGTTTAAAAAAAAAAATAACCCTGGAAGTTAGAGGCTGGAAAACTGTCCTATTAAATTACTGGTTTTCATGTATCTGAGCTGGCACACAGCTATATTTAAAGTAGTTTTCTGTCTCTTTAAATCGCTTTGTATGTGAAGACAAGGATTGTTCTAGAACTGACTTAATTGTTAAACTAGTTCCCTCCAAATATTAACTTTTTTTTCTTCCTTTTCAAGTTTTAAATATTAATTGCTTCTCACCTCCACATGTCTTTTCCCCTTTATAAACTAG